TAACAAACCCTGCTTTGCGATAGGTAGGGCCCGGCGCACATTGTCAGAGGCCAACAGGGGCGTGGCCAGCTCGGGCGTGAAGGCGTTCAGCAGGTAGTAGGAGAGGATGGGCCCTTTCAGGTACGCCCCATAGTGGCTCGTGAGGCTCTGCGCGTAGGCGTGGTAGAAGGCGACCAGGGACGTGGAGAGGGGTGGCTGGGTCACATCCGCGGAGGCCTGGAGGGAGGGAGGGAGAGAGAGAGGGAGGGAGGGGCATTGTATGAGGCCTCCGTGCTTTTCCCTCTCTGTGTGAGCCTCCCTGCCACCTGACCTGCAGTAACAGGGTCTCGAGAAGCACGCCCTCCTGCTCTGGGAAGTACTCCAAGAGAGCCTGGCCTGAGGCGTGAGAGGGACTGGAAATAGGAGGGGCAGAGGAGGATAGAAAGGGATAAGTACCGTCGGAAACCACCTCTTGCTCAGTGATGCTTCGTTTTCATCGTCCCTCTCGGGGGTTACGCCACTTTCTGCCCCCCTATTGTCTCACTTCCTACCCTCTCCCTGGCCTTTCCCTCCCCGAGCCTCCCCTCTTCTCCCTCATCGTCCTCGCACAGCAGTCTTTACCTTCCTGCTGGCGCCGGAAAATCTGAGACGGTGATATCGAGGAACTTCAGACCGAACGTGGCCCCCAAGACTATCACCACGCACCTGAAATGGATGAGTGAGGGAAAGGAGGGTAAAAAAATGTTCCAATGTCCACAAGGATTTGACGTTTCTAGGTTTCACACAATCGTGCCTCACACATGAATCGCAGCCTTGAAAAAAAGAAAACTGTTCACCGTCATTTTGAGTTGTTAACATCCCAAGATGCTCCGATATAATCTCGTTGCCCCCCTTCCTGTCTTCCTTCCATCGTGGTTGGCCTTGCTCACTCGCATCCTCTTCTTCTCAATTCATGCGATTATGCTCCTCTCATGCAACTCCTCGACGTACCATAAGCCCAGTACCACCCATCGCAGCTGCTTAATCCAGTGCACCCACCGGAGGGCAATTCGAGAATGGGAATGATGCGCCATGTCGGTGCGACTCCTCCCACAAAGTAATCACCCAGCCTGGTCGTCACTATGATAAGGCCAAGAATCCAACGCTGAGGACAATTTCCTGCCGTTCCAATAGCCTGGGAAGTGTGAGGGGAGATTTTTACGCAGGTCAGGCGTGGGAAAGAGACGGCGCATGCCATATTCAAGTCAGCGCGAGATCGGGACAAGGTCGTTTGGGATGGGATGGGGCTAGCAGGAGTGAAAAACGCAAGCCCTCGATGTGACCCCAGTGAAACGCGATGATTAGCACACGCACGTGCATCTCTTCTATTTCCATCCGTGCAGACCGTGACGGGCTCGGAAAGATTATGCGTAGTGTCTCTGGTAGTTTTTTCTTGGACGCTGGCAGAGCCGTGTCTCGCAGTGCTCAGCAATCGCCCTCTTATATCCGTTTCCCGTCTGCTTCGATCATGAACAAGTTTAGCCACACACGCCAGGTATGAACGCAAGTGCCCGTATTTCGCAGCCAGAATCGACGCAGCGTAGTCAAAATGAGGCAAAAGAGGAAGAAGAGGAGCTTGACATGAGTGTTTTGTCCTTCAGGCAAGAGTACGAGTGGGAAGCGTGTCGGAGTTTAGAAAATGAAGACGAAGGTCTGCAGCAACTATCAGCTAAGACAAAGGAAAGCAAAGCAGATATTTGTGGCAGCCATGCAGGGACAGAGACAGAGGAAACAAGATGTAGGGCACGTGCGCAGGTAAGGCCTTTCATGACTTTTTCCCATGGGCCTGTCCTCGCATTTTCAACATCCCATTCCTATCCCTAATCCATAAAATGACAAATCGTCTTTTCCCGGCGATATCACTCTCTCCACCGATGTCTGCGACCTTCTATTCATTGTTACACTTCTTTCCCTCCCCCCTTCAGGCCATCAAGGACTATAAGGTGATGGTAGAATACAAATGGTTGAGAAGGCAAGCTCCTGCAGGTGGGTGATGTGAAAGTGAAATGTATTGCGAGATTGTGAGGAAGGCAGTCTGGGGGACGGGATAGAAAATGACTACAACGCAACGTGGGAATGACGACAGGACCGTGCCGCGCATGTCTTCTCCATGCCTGTCGTTTCTGTGTCCTGCGCCCAGATCCGTCTCCCTCGTCCGGTCGCAGAGCAACCCTCATATCCTCCCAAAAGCTCCTCTTGGCTCGCAGTCCCTTCAATCCCCCTGTCCGAATGCCCAAGATCTCTAACCCTCGTCTCCCTGTATTCCACCCGGCAGGCATCTACCTCCTCCCCTCCCCCCC